AAAAAAAAAAAAAAAAACGCAGCCAAAAATATCAAAATGAAACGTAGCAGAGGAGATTCTGAAACCCTTTAACTTAAAAATGCCCTTTCTGTACCCAACACCTCACTTTAGCACTTGGTTTTTTGCCAAGCACGAAGTTCGAATTGACGATCACAGTAAAAACTGATTTTTCTGATATAAGATGCAGTTTTTAAATCGGAGGAAACACGTGTCGTAGTACAGAATTTCTTACCCTGTGTTGTGTCTCACTATGCATGAATAGTGAATATAAAGCCCAGTAACCCAAGAATTTTCACTAATACTCAGGTTTGCTTTTCTGTTGACAGCACTTCCTACGGAGGGACCGAAGATATTTGGCGGACGACCGAGATATCAGATTGGCGACACGGTTCGGCTGAATTGCACCTCGGAGAGGTCCAAACCTGCCGCTCAGCTCCACTGGTTCATTAACGGAGCCCCGGTAAATTACCTTTAACTTCCTGTTGACATTTTCCATGACTGTTGCCGCCTCTTGATTTAGGGCCTCTTCGCGAGGCCGTCCGGAATATTCGGGACGTTAACTCAAAAGGTGTCTCTAATCGCCCTTTTGAGAACGATCTGACACTCGATCGATCAGGCGGATGGCTACATTCGGAATCAGCTGAATAGGCCTGTTGCAAACCTCTGCTAGAGCAAAAATAGGTGTTGTTTCTATCAGTAAATGCCTCAAAAATCACGATAAGCGCATTGGCAAAGTTTGAAATGTACTCCTAACTTCACAATCTGCGAAAGAAGTGTGCGTTTTTTTGTCTGCATTAGCGCATCTGTCCGAAGATAGGAGAGATGTAATCGGGCCTTTTTTTTAGCTTTTCTCTCGAATTTAAGCGACACCTCACTGACTGCACAGAGCGGAGCGTTGCGAGTTCACGCATCGCGCCTTCAAGTTTGTAGATACAACACGGAGATCGATCAAGCACGAATAGTTGTATCTCTGCGCCGTCATCAAAACGAGTCCATTCTCTTACTCTATTTCCATGGTGTGTTGGCTCCGTTTGTCTTGTATATGTAGCGGTGTTTAAAAGGCTACGTGAGCAACACAGTCAAAGTTTAACTTTGATTGCATTTGAATCAGTGAGAACGATAACACACCAACTCTGTAACTCCAAAATGCTTAATTTTCATTAAAGACAGTCAATTTTCACTAAAGTAATTTAAGTTAGCGCATCTGTTCCAGTTTGGACCTTTTGAGAGTCCATAAGTACTTGTCTTTCGGCAGCAAAAATATTTTTCTTAAACTAACTCTTTACCTACTGTACAATTTTGTGCGAGTCTTGATTATTTTCATTTTTCCAAGTTTGTGTCTTGTCGTTCTCACTGATACAAATCGGACTTTGAGAACTTTGGTGATTTTGTTTGTTGATAACTGAGTGTGTATTGGTCTTTGTGGCAGGTGGACAACGCATACCTGCGGGGTCCTTACACGCGGTTCATCGGCTCGGAGGAGCTGGAGGAGACGACGCTGGGTCTGCAGTTCAAGGTGGAGCCGCACCACTTCAAGCGGGACGACATGAAGCTCAAGTGTCTGGCCACCATCGCCACCGTCTACTGGAAGTCCAACGAGAAAAGCGTCGAGGGCGAGAAGCAGTCGAGGCCGCCCACCCTCGAGAGCAAGAAGACTGGCGCCCACACCATCGATCACGGCAAGTCCAGAGCCGACAGAGTCCAAGGTACCTATCCGCATCCGGCAGGAGTAACAACCCCGTGCTAAGGAAAAACGCCGTATGAACATTCGAGAGTTGTCAGATTCCCTCCGAAACTATGTTAATTTCTGAGAAAAGCTCTGAATATTTTTCATTGAAATTTTCAGACGATTCAGATCGAATTACGAACAAAATTCTCTGAAAAATACGAAGAAAAATAATCACAGATTACCCTGAAAATGGAGAATTTGCACCCAAAAATTCTATTACTTGAAAGTGCTCAATAAGCTGAGTTCGCAGTATTTTTCGTAATTTTTATCTGAAATGGGAAATTGGGGGAAAAAAATAGATTTAAAAGTGAGAATAATGTGCCGCCTTGAGACGGCATTTTCCATATAAATACATGTAGTTTCGCAGATTAGGTTATTCCGTCATATTTCCTCCAATACCTGTCAATTTGGAAACCAAGGATGTTATCCAGTTTTTTAGCAGTTTCATTTTGAACATGGAATTTAAAAACTTTCAGACACTTGTAAATTCTCCATTCGCATAATATCGAAGAATATTTGGCAACTTCTGATGGCTCATACAATGTTCTTCCATAGCACGGCAGTATAGGAGAGAGGAATGAGGAATGAGGTCGGAACGAGAGCCCGGTCTCCAGGAAAGCAAAAACGCCTTCAATCGAGAATGATACTGTGCAACACACGGGAGTTTGAATAGTTGTATCATTTCCTTATTTACGATATTCCGATGATATAAGTCGGAATCTTTGG